AGAGAGCTGTCAGGAAACACGGCTGACATTTAACAAATGTGCTGCATTTCCATGGACGTCTACTGTGAGTTCTTTTTGTCTTTTATGTTGTTTATTTTTGTGGTCTCTCAATATGTAAATCCTTATCATTTAAATCAACTTTTTTTGGTAAGTCGATCTTGTCACTTTTTCAACGCTATATTGTGCGTCATACAGACACACATTAGATTCTTTAGATACATTATATAAATAAAATATATTTAACTATGATTGGTCTGAGTAAGATGCTCTCATGGTTGAATTAATGAGTTGCAAGTACTTATACTGTGGCAAAAAGAAAAAGGTCAGTACAGCAGTACTTATGCTAATTTTAACGACAGATTCGACTTTGAGAAAACATTTATTGCAAACAAGCAGCTAAAAGACATTAAGCCTCGAGAGTGGGCCTAAGCAGGGCCTGATAATATAGTTCCATTAAGAGGACGTGGCGTCTGAAGGGGTTCACAGGCCTCAAGTGTCGGAGCTTGTGGACCAAGTCAAGTGCAGTGTATTAGCCCAAACCTGTCTAGCACGAAGAAGGCAGAACATGGGACCGTTGAAGACGCTGCTGGTTTCTACGACAATCTGGTTCATGAAGAATCCAAGCGAATCTCGGGGGATATCTGTAAAAAGGGTATGTCCCCGGCGAAACAGGACACATTCAACTCTCGTCACCAGTTCCTAAACACTGCAGCATTTCAGATTTCTTGCTTATGCTTTCTGCTTTCTTATCTTCATTGCAATTCTAGCCAGCTCTCGCACATGTTCTTGTACTCACTCTATTTCCTTGCAGTACCACTAGTTTCAATTCATATCGTACTTGGCATTCATTTGATTTGGGTGTCGCATTTGGGAAACTGAGGAAAGGGGTCTTAGGAACTAACTCATTTGAAGTCAGGTTCACTTGAGATCGTGAAAATCTCTGGCACGCCTAGAGTCGAGCCCGGATCCTTAGGCGCACTACGGAGTAACGATAATCTCTTAAAAAACTCCCAGGGACAAATAAGTATTTCAGAGGTTTGGCGAATTTGGAGTGGTAAGGATACATAGTTCCCACAGTACCTTCTAATGGTATCACAATATGGAATGGAAAATCTACCGCAATTTTGGTGGAAGTTTCCAAAGAAAATGCTGCATACTCATAGCGAGTGGCGTGCCTTACACATGAGCCCGAAATGTCTGCTGTGCGGAGCGTTTATTCTCCATTACGCGCGCGCGCGCGCACCCAAGTAGGATGGAGATGCCATTGAGTTAATCAGAAGGGTACAATCATGATTCATTGATATTTATGTAACGGGTACATTAATTTTTTTAACCAGAATTAATATAAAACACAAATAATATAATTAATTTTTGAGAATGAAAATGCCAATTATATCCATATTGTGGGGCTTCTAGATCAGAATGGTAGCATATTTAGATTTGGCTTCCTTTCGCTAAAGGAAGCTCTTGAGAGTTGCAAATCTTGATTGTCTAGATTTAATATTTTTTATTTTTATTTTAAATTTATCCAAATAAACAAATTTATATGATCATTGATATTAAATCTAAATTATCTAGATTGCTAAGCAGATTTATAAATTTCTTTTACAATTCATATAATTTTTTAAAATATATAAATATTAATTCTGAACGGTCCCAACATACACATTTGCATGATATAACACGTCAAATATTTTGGCATGCCCGACGCTCCTATCTTCAAACTCTCAATGATTACTTTCATTGGTTTCGGCGCGCCTCCTTGGAACTTCAATGATTTTAGTGCAAGACAAGGGAGGAGCAATTCTTCGTTTTCTTTTCTTTTTTTTTCCCCTTGAAAATGATAATTATGTTTTTTGGTATAGTAAATGAATAAATTAATTCAATGATTTTTTTAGTGACCCTAACTCAGACGCAAGAGAACCACTTCAATATATGATTCCCCCCCCCCTTTCACATTGAAACTGTAATGGCAGCTAATTATACTTATACCTTTTGTTGTAACAAATGCTTTAAGCCTTGGGTTACACGTATGATTAGAATCCATTACCAATTGCATACTCAAATGCAATAAGAAATAAATACTTGATTCTTTAATCCATATATAATGCTAAAAGTGAAAAAGAAACACGTGCATGGTAGGGAACCCCATACGAAAGCTGATGGGAAATTTGACAGCGTTGGTTGTCACAAGGTCCAACGTTGGGTGGCAAAAGGGAGGCAGAAAATTGCAGATTTGGGCCATCTTTGTATTGGGCCCTAACATAACACCAACATGCGATCAGATTGTGTTGTCTGTGCGGACTGGCAATGATTAACGAAATGACGATGATGCCCCTTCTGCCTGTGCCGGTTCTCGTTTGTATCGGTACAAGGCCACAGGAAACGTCCTTTCGCGCCTTCAATAAATAATACAGTACTTTCAAATTCCACGCCCCTCCACTTCCAACTCTTCATTATTACTTTCTTTGCTTTCCACATGCACTTTCTTCACTTGACATAAGGCCAAAAATACATCCTGGCTAGCCTGAATCACTTTCGAATCTTAATCTCGGTGAGTTGCAATACACTCGCTTCACAATCTTCAACGGGCCATTCCTCCCATTTTCTTTTCTCTTCTCCTTTTCCTTTCCTTTTTGTTTTTCACTCCGAGCAAATTAATGAAAGAAAAATAATTTTAGATTTATTCAAGATGTCGGAAGGATAATATTAAACAGAAATGATTCTTGTATTATTATCACTAGCATGTTTATGGAGCAGATGGTAGAATGTTGAAGGACTAGACATATAGATTATAGCAAGGCAGTCAGAGGGTTGTCTGTCGAAAGCATAGATATAAAACTCCGAAGTAGGATACAGATTTTGGTCGTGGCACAGATTTTGGTCATTAAACTTGCGTTGCCCTGTTAATTTGGTCATTAAACTTGCGTTGCCCTGTTATTTAAATGAGGGTATTCTTTCCCCTTTAGAGACGAACCCCACAGAAACAGATGAGATATCAAATACAGGGGTGGGTGATGTTTTATGTATATTCTATACTTTGTGGCCGCATTTGATTTGTGAGTACAAAAACAGAACTACCATGCTGGAGAGGGACATGCAAACGAAAACGAATACAAAATAAAAAGGATGGAATATGGGGTGCAGGTGGAATCAGGGGAAGGCAAAGATTCAGAGGGGGAGAGCAGTTCAAATGGGGATCGAACTGCCTGGCTAACGTCAAATGAACCAATGCCAAATGAAAGGATTGCTTGTAAAGTCAGATGAAGACAGCATTGGGGACGGGAAGCTACGGAGAAATGACACGTGGATGAAAACGTGGGGGGAAATGTCTGGAGGGGTGCATACAGAGCAGGAGTGTGAGAAAGGGCGTGCAGGTGCAGTGGAGTGTTGAGCTTGGGGAGGCCAACGGAAATTTTAACATGGCGGGGAGTTCCAAAGGAGCGGGTGCAAATACAAATACAAATCCAACTTGACGCGGCAGGACCGAACATGCGTCCCAAGCCAGCCAAGAAGGGCATCTTCTATGCTCATAGCCTCATACAGACAATTTCCAAGGACCCCTCACCCCCCACCATGCACTCTTTATGTCTGTGTCTTTTTGTCTACATGGCCTTCAATCCCCCCCCCCACCCCAAAACCACCACAAGCCCCGAGCAAACAAAATAAAAATTCAGCCCGCCTTCCCAATTGCCATTTGCATTCCACATCATCTCGTCTAACATGTCAAATAAAAGACACTTCTAGTTATCTTTAATTAAAAGTTAAAACCAAGAACAATTGGCGATCTAGTTGAACGCATTAATTTCTCACGATTTAATATTTTTCCAAAAATATTCATATTTAATAAAATGGGTGCATGGTGAATGGTAATAAAATATCAGTTCTAAACAATTGGACGCATGACTTCTACTATGGCAGTGAGTTCATCAGATTTGAATTATGTAATTATACTTCACCATTAAAATTCATATCAATAATTTAGATAAATTTATTTATTTATTAATCTTAAGTCGAGTATACATTTATAATCATTAAATTTAAATTCAAGACAATATTCACTTTGGGGGCTTATGTGTGAGACTGGGTGTTATGTTATAAAGAGAGAATTAAGAATGGATGATCTCCATGCCTCCGTTTATATGTTTAATTCCATTTCATGACTGTACTTAAATGGTTGAGAAAAGAGCTCATAAATTAATGGACCATATATTTGATTCAATAATTTGGGCCGTTATAATATCAATAAATGCTCTTAAAAACAATACCAAAAATCTTATGTAGAGTTTACTTAACTAAATAAAAATATATATTTAGTTTAATTAACATTACTACTGGCGATCTATCATTAAATCAAACGGATCCGATAGAGGTAATTTGGGGGGTGGGGAGAAGTATAGAAAAAAAAAAATAATTAAGATGATTCAGATCTTAAAGGATTCCACCCCATACCTTTGTGAGATTTAAATTGTATTCATATTAATTGGATACACTTATATTTGCATGAATAAATATACGCTTATTCAGGGATCTTCACGTGCACTAAAAAAAAGAAAAAGAAAAAAGAACCTGGTTCAGAATGAAAGCTGAGAATGTTGGAAGTACTAAATTGTGACAGGACTACCGACACATATTTTAGAATTTATTAATATGCCTAATGATTAACAAATTTAAATTTTAACGCGACACTCATCACTTCTGCATAGTAAGGGAGTGACTACAAAAACAGACTCGTTTTTGCTGCGATGGCGTCGGTTCATCAATTTCCCTTTCGTCCGGGTGCGCCCCATTTCCTTCCCACTATGACTGACAGCAAGCGACTCCAGGAATTTTATTCATATTTAATTAATAAGGATCCTAAGTCTTTTTGGGTATATTAATTTAATCCCGAGGCGTGCTCCTTTTGATGAAGGCAAAAGGACCCACTTTAATGTTTTAGGCTCGATAAACAAGGTCGGCAAACACAAGAGGCAGAAGTGGACAAAGAAACAAACAAAAAGGAACAAGGGAAGATGAATCTAGTAGTGAAATTTATTTGACAGTTGGTTACATATTCAGAATCACAAGAACCAGATTCTAGGAGCCTCATAGAAATAACCAAACACTAAAAAAAGTTCATTCCCAGATTCCGACCTCCATGAAGCCATCCTCGGTGGCGCACCCCCGAAACATGCCGTTACAGTTAAACCCATAAGCCACCTCTCCGGTGTTGGACACGGCGATCAGGCCAGCCTTGCCCTCGTCCAGCCTCTCCTTGATCACCATGTCCACCGCCTCCTGCAGGCCCAGCCCTTTGTACTCCATCACCGCCCCCACCTCACGCGCCAGCGTCCCGCGTATGATCGCTTCTCCCTCCCCTGTGCACGATACCCCACACAAGTCACACGCGTACGTCCCCGCACCTATCAGGGGTGAGTCACCTATCCTGCCACTCATCTTGTTCATCAGACCCCCGGTCGACGTGCCTGCCGCACACCTTCCCTGCCCGTCCACCACCACGCACCCCACCGTCTCCGGTGCGTATACGCTTATTGGCAGCCCGTTCATTTGCAGCGGACTCTCCACTCCCGCGCCGCACGTCTCGTATCCCGTCGTTGGAATCCTGTAGTCAAACTGCATCCCCCGAATATCCCAAATGGATTCCGTCAACCCTCTTTCTTACCATTTTTTATAATTAATTAAATAATTGATTGATTGAATAAAAAGCCGCCAGACAATTCGATCACTTACCAAAATAGCGTTGGCTTCCTTTGCCAGCTTCAGCATGCCCACATTCTCCGGGGTGATGAAGTATTCGTTTTCCACCACCTCCACGCCCTGCACCAATCCCAATCATATTTCACTCTTCACATAGATACTTCGAAAACCACAGGAATAATGCCTCGTCTCAGGTAAACCAACCGTGTCCACCAAATATTTTATCTTTTTCAATGTCTTATTTAAGAATATTAAAAACAAAACACAGGACCGAACTCAAACGAAGAGAGACGAACCTGTTGCCTTGCGAATTCTTCCGCGCCGTTGAAAGCGAGGTACGAATGGGGGGACTTGTCCATGACAAGCCGGGCCAACGAAATCGGGTTTTTCACGGTGGTGACGCCCGATACCGCGCCGCATCTTCTTTTAGGGCCATCCATGATACTCGCCTCCATTTCCACCGTTCCCTTTTCTGTCAGAGCAGATCCACGACCAGAGTTGAACAGGGGATCTGTTTCCAGTTCCCTCACCTGTGTCAAAAGGGAAAAGGCAAACTTTAACGCCGATCTATGGTAAAAACAGAACAAAAAGCGCTTAATTTTCCATTTGAAAGTCAATAAAATTAAACAACAAAACAATATGCATAAGAAATGCCGACAGCAGCGGCCGAAAACATGCATCGACTGTGGATGGCATGGGGGTTCAGACGCTTCAGAGTGCACATTGTGACAGCGTTTCTAATATAGTCTTTTGGCGAAACATAAAATTCGTAAGAGAATGTGATGCGAGGGTGGAGAGAGTGGAAGCAGGGGAAGAAGGGTGAGAATACATACGACAAGTTCGACGACATCGATGGCGGGAAGATTGGAACGAAGAGCAGAGATGCCGAGATGGAGACAGCGAGTAAGGAGTTGCTTGGCTTGCTCCTGACGCTGGGGAGGGAGATTAGGGTCGACACCAGCGCCGCCATGCACTGCGATAGCCCAACCCCCCATCTCTCTCTCTCCTTATTGTCTCTGCCCTCACAAGCTTGTGTGCCACTGCAAATGGAGAAGGGTTGGCAGGGTTTTATAGACAGTTTCGGACTTGAAACCAGTATTGTGTTGGAATTAAATTGGAACGCCCCAAATTATATTTGCTCACGGCCCTTGTTATTGTAACTATACATAATAATCTTCATTTGTATTTCATCTTCATAATTTTATATACATATACTATATAATATAAATGTGAAAGTTTGATGTAAATGATTTGGCACGCAAATTCAACCCGGCCCAGCCAGGATTGGCTCTGCATTTAAATCCTTTTTTTTTTTTGGTTATTGTCAGCGTGATTTCTTTCACGTGTTTTTCGTAAATAAAAAAAAAAATTAATTGCTCTTAATGTCACAAACAACATTATATATGGCACTACCCTTTAAGACACAGCATAAAAAGGAAGCCGAGTTATATTTTGAGGAAGTGCCAGGTGGGGCGTGCGGGGTGTGCGAGTGTGTGACTCACAGAGAGGAGACCTTCTGGCCTCTTTCCCCAGCCTTGACAAGTGGGATGTGCCCCCTGCAATTACGAATTTGCCCCTACTCTCCAGATTACATGGACTGCTGAAACCGGGCCCAACCGGTTTCCCATTTTACAACTTTGCCCTATTTTACTGGCCCAGCCCTCCCTTTCTTAGCTTCTTGTTACAACCTCTGTTCAAGTAGAAGAGAACTTACAAAGTTAGAGGGTTTTTGGAGACCTTTGAAATTATGTAAAGAATTTTAAAATGTTCAAGAGAAATATTCTGATATATTTTAAAATGTTAGAAACACATTTGGAACAATCTCCTTTTCTACAGCACCTTGTCACAACCTCTATTTAAGTATGGGAGAACTTGCAAGCTTAAAAAGTTTTTGAAAACTTTCAAGATTATGTAAAGAATTTTAAAATGTTCAAGAGGAATATTTTGGTATATTTCAAAATGTTAGAGAAACATATGGAACAATTTCCTCTTCTGTAAAGCCTTATCACACCCTCTGCTTAAGTATGAGAGATCCTGCAAGGTTAAAGAGTTTTTGAAGACCTTCATAATTATGTGCAGAATTTTAAAATGTTGAAGAAGAATATTCTAGTATGAAATGTTAGAGAAACATCTAGAACAATAAATAAATATCTAGAAAATTTATAAGGATCTAAAAGTTTGTAAAAACTTGTGGAAGGAATGTAGAAATATCGGTAATATTTTAAGATATTTTAAAATATTTCACACATATTTTAAAAAGGGTCTTTAAAAGGGTCATTATAAATATCTATAATTCTAGATATTATCATATAATATTTTAGATAAGCATTATTATATTGATCTCCATCGTTTTATTAAAGAGGTGGAAAAATTATGGAATAAGGGAGAAGTCTATAAATATTCCCGAGCCTTCTCATCCTTAACCAACTAGCAAACCAAACAAATTAACAAAACCCTCAAATTCATTCACTCAAGTTCTATATTTTCTACTTGTATGCCAAGCTCTTTAAGTCTCTTCACTCACACTGTGAGGGTTTGATTGATTTAATTAAGATTAAGTGATTGATCAAGATAATGCTAACACGGTTAAAAAACCAGGACAACATGATCCACCAACTCTCATTTGATTAAGAAATATAATAATAGCAGTAATAATAATAACAATAATAATAATAATAATAATAATAATAAATATGTAAAGATATGTTATATTTTATTAAATTTACCTCTCGTCTAATTTCTTCTATAAAATTATTATTATGCTGAATATTAAGTTTTTTATAAAAATATTATTGAATATCATTTTAAAATGCTAAAAAAAACGCATAATATGAAACAAATTGCAAATATAATGAAAGAGTATTTTAATATTATTGTTGTCGTTGTGATTTATATTTGTTTAATGTTTTTTAAGAAAACTGTGTCCATACAACATTATTCACCAGCGCACAAAATGATGGACTGAATCCCAAACAAATATTTATTTAATATTATCACGGTTTAAATTGTAAGACACTTCTAACCATATTTAAAATATCGGTAAAAACTATTAATTCCTTTCTTTCATTTAAAAAGGACGTGTCTTCCTTGTTTTGTTCTCAATTCCTTTATTATGAACAGTGAGAAAAGTATTGAGTCAGATTACATTTCTTATGCCCACCCTAATTCATATGAGATTTAATTTTAAATTTATCAGTCACTAAATATCTTAAAATTTATATTAAGTTTAGCTGAAAAAAACTTCAGCCAAAAGCATTCCGCCTATTGCAAATTATGAGATAATTTGAGAGGTATTTTATTATCTTAAAATATAAAATAATTTGATAAAAATATTTCATTAATGTTATTTTTTTTAATATTACCTTTAAAGTAAAGGAAGGATTAAATAATTATAATGTAAGTGAGATTTAATGTTGCATTAAATGAACAGTATCTTTTGAAGTTTATATGTTTATTTTAAAAATTAAATTTTAAATATTACTACCTTCATCCTAAATTATAGGATAATTTAAAAAAATTATTTTAAACTATAAGACACTTTGAGTATATTAAAATTTTATTAAGTATATCAATCTTAATATTATCCTTTTTCTTTTTATAATTAATTTTTATCTCTTTTCTTTTTAGTACATTAAATTATGAATATTTTTAAAAATTTATATTTTTATTTTAAAAAATTAAGATTGTTAAATATATTTAATAAAATTTATTTTAAAATTGTTTTGTAATCTGAAATGGAGAAAATATTATTAAGTTTTATCAATATGTTTAATTTTGTCTTAAATTATCTAATAATTTAATTCTATCGAGCATTATTTTGTGAGATTGGGTTGCTATTTTTTTCAGGGCCAGCCTCCGTATCTGGTGGTAGATTCACTTGGAAAGGAATCACGGGGACGGGGGGTTGGTTCGCCAGTGGCAGTTCCAGAACGCAGACAGACTGTCGCAAAGAGTCAAACTCCATGGCTCAGGGCATCCTGTGAATCTTTTGAGATTCGATGTGGTCTCCCCCAAAATTACTTATTTATTCTCCCTTCCTTCAATTAATAACAAAAAAATTTCAATGCGCCCTGTTGATTGCTTTCTTTATAATAATAAATGTCCTATTTGAACTTTTTCTCATATTTTAATTTACCCAGGCTCTGTAGTCTGCATCCGCCCTCAAGAGCATCTAGCTGTAATAATATTATTATATTTTAATGAAGATTCCCCTCGCTTGCCTAACTATTTTGTCCCTTAGCTCATTTCTTTTGTTTGCCCCCGCAATTGTACTTTAAAAGGATATGATTTTAACATGCACTTTATTTATATTTTATTATTAATTTATATATTATTTTTTATTTCATTTATTTAAAAATATAAAATATTTTTTTGAGAAATTAAATGTTAAAAATATAAATATTTTTAATATTTTAAGGTGTGATCATTTTTTTTTAAATATCCCTATTGATAATGACTTTATATTTATTATAGGGTGTTTAATAGGGATAAATATAAAAAGATAGGATTGGTTAGAAAGTAAGCAATTACTTTATTGAGGTGTGAAATTTTGTTAAAATATTTTATATTTTTAAACGGAGTAAATAATATTTTTGATCTCTTAACCCTTTCTCAGTGTACAAAAATGCAGGAATAAAAAATACAAAGATTAATACTAAAATGTGAGTAAAATATAAAAAAATTAAAGTTTTATTTTTTATACTATTTTTCAATACTGTTCGCCCATATTTTCTAATCACTCTCTGCAGATATTAAATTTAATTTAATTAAATAGCATTTTCATATCACACCGCCAAGATCAAATAAAAACAAAAAAAAAGGGTGCAACTAATGCTCTTAAGAGTGTACTATAATTCGTAATAAATGACATCAGCAAAGTATTTAGAAAGTCCAGACCACATAATTTCAATACGCTTTAGGTAAAGGTGTTGGTGTCCAGTCACCACTCACCCAGGGCAGCCATACTTATAAATTTGAGTCGAGATCAGAATAGTATTCCGCATTCAAATTCTTCTGATAAAAGAAAAAAAGAACTGCAAGGAATGTTGTGTGTTTTTTTTTTATCACGTTGATTTTTGATTCACCGTAAAAGTTACACAGTAACATTATAGATTCTTGATTCATCACATTTCTTTAATATTTTTAATTTTAATATACGATTTTAAATTCGTTACAATCTTATTGTGATTAATTAAATCGACGAGCATGCTAATAAAAATATATAGAATTTAATTTAAGTGCTAATTATAATTTTGTGGTAATAAGTTAAAAAAAATTATTGGATAACAGTGATACATAGGAATGTTTCGTCCAATGACGTCAAAATTATAGTCTTATAAATTGTTTCAGCCGGCGTGAATGTTATTAGTATACTGTTTTATGATCTCTAAATGTATACTGTGCGGTTGTTGGTTTTTTTTTTTTTTTTAAATGTATATTGTGCGCGGTTAAGAGAATCACTAACCCGCGCGCGAACCCTCCATGTTTTGATTTTTAAATGAAAATAAAAGAATAAGACGACGCAAGAGACTGGGAGTCAGAGTCAGTTACGTTAATTTTAATTGATTGATGTCCACTGTCATATGCATGAATCTAGAGAAATTTATTATAACATATGTGATTCTATTTCCATGGTCGCCGGAGAAAACAAATATATGTATATATTATATAGAGAGGGGGGGGGTGGTGAAGAAATTAGAGTGGAGCCGCTGGCATGTGATCTAAAATTAATATTATTGGTCAATGGTGGTTTCAACTTTTATTTCTGTGTTCCTTAAACCCTGGGCCATGCGGCCAAATGCCAATAAAATTTTCAGCCACTAGCTATAAATTAAGAGGCCTCCAATTCTGGCCGAAAAGGAAAGTAAAAAACAAGGAAAAGAAAAGAAGGGAAAGAACAGAGAGACCTTCACTACCCTCGGTTTACGGACAAGATAAGGACTGTGACTGGCTGGATTTGGAGACCAACCATCACACCATGGCATCTGCGTTGATCTATCAATTCTTTAAATGCAGATCAAACTAAATACCTTTATTCAAAAATACAAG